AGTATTAATATTTTAATTTTCAAAGTGATTAAGCTGAAGGTTGGAAATATTAAATAAGTGGCCCAAGGTCCACTGGCAGACCTGAGATTTAACCTGGATTGTTTTGATTCCACGGATCATGTTCTTAATCACAACTTCCAACAAGATCTCATCTTAGAACAAGTAGGGCCTGTTGTTAGTAGGGAGAATTATAGACAAGTTGATGAAGTAGTCATGGTACTTAACTCTTTTCCATCACAACTTTTATGCAGTTTGCATATCAATCCAGATAAATTATTACTAATAATACTGAGGGAAATGTAGAAAGATGGCACCTTTTTACTTCTCCACCTATTGCAGAATGTGAAAGGCAGTCCTTGCTTGAGGATAAAGGAAGTGGTATGTACAAGTTGTTTGCCAATGAGATATTGGAACATGAACAATAAGCCAGTCAAAGAAAGACAAGTGTCACATGATCTCACTCATATGTGGAATCTAATAAAATAATCTGATGAATAAAGTAGATCCAGAGATATTGAAGCATGCAACAGACTGACACAATTCAGAGAGAAGTGGAGCGGGGGGGGTGGGGGGGGTGCGCAAGAAGAGATTAACCAATGAACTTACATGCATATATGCATAACCCATGGACAGAAAATAGTGCTGGGAAGGCATGGGAAGGGGATATTTCCAGCGTAAAATGGGACAATAAATATATATTTTAAAAAGACATGAAGAAATTGTCCAGTTTTATCAAACCATATCAAAGGAAACCAATTACTTTAACCGATTCTTTATACTTTTACCCTCTGGTTGTTCAAAAACCAGATAAAATATTCAACTGCTGTTAGTAATTTGCACTTTATTGTGAATGCTTTTACAGCTAAAATTGTTCCACACAGAAGTGATGGAGGTCTGCTTCCAGAAATGTGTGGGGCTAAAGAAAAGCATGATCTATCGTGTCCATGAGCTACTAAATCTTATAACCACAGACTCTGTAGTGTTATTCAGATTTAATACTTTATTTAGAATTCTCTCTCATGCATTATATTCATGATGAGTCCAAATAAAACTCAAAAATATATTTTCCTCTAATTATTATATAATTCTCTTTTTTAGTTTTGGACAAATTTAGAGAGGGATTTAACTTCTATAACTGTTTTTAAAATCTAAAATTAGATATAATAACAACTAGTGCCCCAGTGCATGGATTCATGCACATTGAAAGGAAATTAATTAGAGGGTGGCTGGTGGGGAGGGACTGGGCAAGATGGGCCAGACACGCCCTGTAGCCAACTTCCCGTGGTTCTTCCCAGGCTGGCCACACCTGGGGCAGTGCTGCAGTTTAAAGGGCGTCTGCAGAGTGAGTGGGGTCCCTCTGGCAGATGGGGTCCCTTGGCCTGTCCTGTGGGGATCGGGCCAAAACCGGCTCTCTGACATCCCCCGAGGGGTCTCAGATTGAGAGAGGGCAGTTCTCAGGTGTCACACCCAGGAATTGGGCTCCCTCCTCTCTGGTTCTGGGGTGCATCACCCAAGAAACGCCATTGCCAAGTCACTGCAGCTCGGCAGCTCCTGCATTGAGCATCTGCCCCTTGGTGGTCAGTGCACATCATAGCTACTGGTCAGAGCATTTTCACAGTTTTTCCCATCCACGTCTTGGCTTACCTGCTGACAAAAGCAATTTACGTGCTGCAGAACATAATCTTCTATCAGACAAAAGATAGATAAACTGATGGCCATGTTTTTTCTTGAAGGCCATGCTTTTCTATGTAGGAACACTGCTCTTATGGAAACTAGTTTGTGTGTGATATTTAATTGATGCTTGGCAGTGATTCAACTATAAGAATAATGAATCAAAACACCTGTAAAAGAGTCTTATGCTCATAGCAACAATTGTATTACAGCTATTCTCAGGACATAAATAACCTGCCACATTATATGCAAAGTTTATTTTTCTTGGGGAACATGCATTAATATTCTTACTAAAATAATATAAGTTATTGAAATATTCTATGTATAGAGTTTAAAATACTTTAATTTAAAAAGAATAAATTTATGAATTCTTTAATTCATAAATTGGTAAAGTTTGTCTCTCAAGAGCCAGATTATAACTATTCTAGGAGCTGTGGGAATACATTTTCTGTTTCATATTTCTCTCTCTCCTCTTTCCTCCCTATCAAGCTCCTTCCTTTCTTCCCCTCTTTCTTGCTTTTTCTTTACAACCCTTAACAATATAAAAACATTTTCAGCTGAAGGGTCTGTTAATAATGTTTAGTTTTTAGGAATATTATATAATGACTAGGGGCCCGGTGCACGAAATTCGTGCACTGGGTGTGTGTGTGTGTGTGTGTGTGTGTGTGTGTGTGTGTGTGACAGCCTGCCCCCTCTCACATACTGGGAGCCCTCAGGCGTGG